GTTTCACCGTGACGTGTGCGGTTGGATCTTCTGGCTGCCCGCTTGTGTCAGAATTTTCCTCCTCTTAAGAATCTTTGTGTCTCGCCCCTTTCTCTCTCTTTCCCACTGTTTCCGTTCCCCAATAAACTTTTCTCTCCTTCAACGAGATCTTCTCATTTGGACCGGTGTTCTGCTCGCTTGCTTGCTACGATACCCTAATAGCAAGCGAGCTCGCCGCGAGCCAGCGTACTCTGGGAGGGGGGGGGTAGTGGGTCTTTAGCCTGCTCGCGATTTGATTGGTTCCCGGGTCGGCTGCGCCGGCGTCGCGAAGGGCGCAAGCGGCCGCGCATACTTGCACTTGATTATCGATTAGCTTCGGTGCCCGATAGTCCTCCGGCTCTCGCCGGTGCCACTGTTTGCTCTCCCACGCTGCACTGCGCACGCCGTGTCTCGCTCTACGCTGACATTGCCCACCCTAACTGTCTTTGTCTTTGTGTTCCCTTGTGTCTCCTTTTACTCACAATTATGTTTACTCCTGTTACTAGGCGTAGAATACGGCGTCAAGCACGCCGAGAAACTGAAGTAATAATAAGAAGAATCAGCGAAGAGGTGGGGGGGAATGCCGTCGTCGGACACATCATCCGATAGTTTGTCTGAAAGCGACACGGATGAGTCTATGTCTTCAACTTCGCTGGCGAACGAACGCTCTTCTTCCCTAGAGGGTAGCAGGGTGTCTACGGACGAAGAAGTTGGTTTAACGGCAGAAGTAGAGGAGGAGGATGCAAGCCCTCGTGAAAGTTTGCGAAAAGGGCTTTACGATCAAAAATTCCGCATTCTCAGTTGAACGATCTGCTGAAGACTTTGAAACTGCGGTTGCCGGACCTCCCTGCTGACGCACGAACGCTGTTGGCCTATAGGCCTCTTTCTGCCTACTCGTAGACTGCTTTCTCAACCTGAAGGTAACTCATGGAGTTCTTTTGACCCATTTAAACACATTTTGACGTAACTGTACTTCTTTACTTCCCGCGCATCATATTTCTTGCCGTTAAGCACGTTTTAGAGGCCATACTCGTGCAAGCCCCCATCTACCCCCATTCTCTTAAGACGGGTAGAGGAGGAAAAAAGTTTTTTTTAGTGTTGCAACATTGGATTCACGGCATACATACATATGGGTACATCGAAGTGTCTCTAAGATGACTTCCCGGAGGTTTTTCGTCCCTAATTCTACTGAGGAGTTATTAGAAGTCCACAAAGTAACAGATCTGTTATTACGGCGTACTTACGGCGGACATGTAGTCATCGAAAGCCTCGTAAACTCCACGCTGAAAAAGATACTTAACTGAAGAACTAGCGTTCGCGTTTGGTCTTTCTCTGTAAGGCATGAATACAATGAAATTGAGTCTCTACGAGTCAGCGAGGCTGAACACAACGTTCAAAAGTCCGTCAGCCGGGTGCCTGGGCTCTACTGCTTCGAATGCAAGGGCATCAGAACTACAGGCTATAGCAGTCCGTGCTCCGCCTTGGATGACGTGACAACTGCGCAGCCCTCCTTACGATGCAATATGTTAAAGAAGGCACAACGGCCTATACGGCTACACAGTAACCTTATGACTAGCGCCAATTTAAACATACTTTCGGGTTGATGTCAACACGCACACGTATTGGCGGCTGTAGAATATAAACTTCTCAGTATTGTGACGGACAGCAGGAAGTTTATATGAATTAACCGACTTGAAGTGGCAACCGTTTTTCTATGCATGGTTAGAACAAAAAGTTCTTTACTCGCCTTACTAAAGCGCTAAATCGCCTCTTCCATCGCATCATAGGATGCGAATTTTTGTCCATAAAGAAGGCCTCGAAAACTCTCCGACACGCCACAAGACGCCATTGTCCAAATAACGTGTCGTAAGCGAAGAATATTCAAACGTCCACGCGCAGAAAAACTAGCCAATCAGCGAACTGGAGGCTGATAATCAGCCTATTGCGCGTAAGACCAATGGGAACGTCGAGAGGGGAGGTGAGGAGCCGCGACTCTGAGAGGCAGTTATTCGCATATGTTCTGCGCCTTCTGTTAATTAATCCGACTTTCAAAGTTAAAAATAGCTTCTAATCTGTATTTAAATCTGTACAGCGCTTTTGAGTTGAGAATCATGTCTATACATACATCAAGGGCGTATACCTCTGCAAAAATTGCTGTATGCGACAGTGCAGCATTATGTAGGTCGCCTGGCCTCAAGGTTCTGTAAACGCGATGCACGGACGAATAGTTTACGCACACATGTTGTGAAAAGTTCTGACAAAGGGTTTCAGTCATGCAGTTGCCATTATTTTCCTGGTGCGTGTATTGTCCCACTTGAACCTCTTTGATGAATACGTCATGCAAATCTGCTATTGCACCATAGAAAGTAGTTCATTTAAGTTATCTGGGTTTTCTGATAGCCGTACTTTGGGATTCGTATCCCAGACAAGTTGCAGGTATTTATAATTGCTGTTGATGGCAGCTCATTGCCTAAGTTTTGTGCCAGTGTCCACGAATCTCCTTAAATTCCAACATTATATACCAGGGTCTTGTTATCAGATGAGCGATTCAACTTAAGTATTATATTGTTACGTCCGATTAAGTCGAATGTAGCACACACGATCGACTAGGTCACCTGGAGTGGCCCTTCCGCCAAGTAAACAGTCGACGGAATTGTCAAGCACCACATCAAGCACGCGTATATTGATAATGTAAGAAAGGGCGTTTAAGATGTATAAAATCTAATGTTACGTAAGGGAAACAATGCGGTAATGTTTAACTTATCCATTTGGTGTGCTAGGTGGTCCTATGACACTAGTTATACACCGGCGGGGATTGCAGCGCTGTCAGAAACTGCGGAGAAGGGCCATGGAGTGTGCTGACGTCAGAGGATATGAGCGACGAGGGACGAGCGAGATTAGGAAGAGATGTCAGCGTAGGGAAGGAACACCGACCATCTTTGCTGGCACGCGATCACACCCTTGCAACAATTCTGATTAGAATCTGAACTGAATCTGGCCAGAGGCTAACGATATTCTTGTCAGAATCTGTGCTGAGCACAAACTCTGTAAAAAATTTTCGGCCTCCATTTACACCGGGTATCCGCGCTAACAGTGACCTCAGTCTATTCAAACATCTGTCAATTCCGTTGGCTACTACCGTGTCTATGTCACTAAACAGGTTGACTGATCCCCCCCCCCCTAGATGCCGTATTCTGAACTATACTTCGGTGTTCTGACATTTTTACAGTCACTTTCTAGTTTTCAGTAGAGACGAGCTCTCCAAACTGTTTCATTTCTTGTTTACGGTTACTCCCTCCAACGACTCTATTACTTTCAGCTTAACGAACCTATTTGATGGCTGTCTATGGTCGCTGTTTTACAACATTCTCATCGAACTCCTACGTCTTGTGGGTTTCTCGGTGTGCCTTGTCTCAACCTAAAACTTCCTGTCTCTGCTGCCCGGCAACCTGCTCGTCAGGCTTTTTGACAAACCTTCATTAAAGCTCGTTTTACTAGCTCCTACCTGTGGACGTGCTGGAACTTCAGCAGTAATTTTAAGAGTCGTGGATGGATACGGGTTTTCATACTTAGGGAAAGTCTATAATGGTTATGGCCTAGCTACCAAGTTGACAAGTTGAATGAATTGTGCAAATGATTTTTAGTGGATTGACTTGCACCAGTCCCTCGACGTAATTAATGTCCTTACTTAATCTTAAACACGGAAAATGCTTTAGCGGGGCTCGTCAACGATGTGTCCACGGTACGACCCTATATTCTGCAAGGCTCTAATTCCTCCACTACGGACACGCGACAACAAAAGCAGCATATCCAGTGATGCAAAGAGATAGAGATTTGGTCTACCCATGGGAAGTGCTATTAATGAATGAGGGAAACAGTCTATTCATTCATCACCAGAATGGTCGCATTAGTAAGTATCAGAGAATACGAAGGACGCTGTTACTAGCCAGAGATAGGCCACGTCTCTTCTATTTTTGGTCTCTCTTCTGGCTACAATGCAGTTAGACAGTTTCGGGCATATCTGGGCCGCAAGATTCATCAGTTAAAATCTATTTGTACTTCGTCTAGCCTCGCCAAATCCCTCTCAGTAGGGTGGAATCAGGAGCCCTAGACAAGCTTGGTCATGAAATAATCTTAAGGAGTTTTTGTTACTGTAGTTACTCCATGTGCAAGGCTATTGAGACGCTGGTCGACCAAAGAGCGACAACTTTCATGCCTTTTATGATAGCATCCGGCTTATTTAATTTACCCTCCCCAACTTGCATTTACAGGAGGACTTTTTCTGGTTAATACTGACTGCCTAGCTTTACTCAAATAACTATATAGTGTTCAATTAGTTTGAGCAGGGGCACACAAAGCGGTCGATAGTTAAGGAAGAAAATCAATTCTTGTGTATTTTTATAAGGGCACATTTTATAGCCAACAGCGTGCGCTAACTTTAACTGTTTGTTAGTAATTGGTCCCAGGTCGTGTCGCTTTTCGTTGGGACCCGTAGACTGTGCGTCATCATCATCCGAAAATTGACTTTCAATCAGCATCTCGAACCTTTATATTTGTACGAACTTATGTACCTTCAATTTATAGTGATATGTTGTCATATGAATCACATAATCTATGTTATTCAAGCGAAACGGATTTTAGTTATGTCCGGCAAGTAGTTGAAGTTAAAAGTCACGTGAAATGTTTTATAGAAAGCCATTCTTCGCCAACTGGACAAAATTAATACAATATGGTAAACCTTAGACTCAATTTAAGGAATTAGGTGTTCTTATTTTACTTGCTTTGATTTGTCCAATTTAAGTGGGTATAGTTTTATTGAGGCATCTTCAAGTACGTCCTTTACTTCCGCGTCTGACGCATTGTTTTCTTCCTTTACTCCAACTGTCCATTCAATTATATCGTGTTTTTTCCTTATCCCGAATTGCTTCCCCGTTTCAAGAAAATCTTAAGAAAACTTCGGCTTCTAAGTTTGAACGCATGGGATGCAGGTGACGGCTGCATCACTAACTCCACTGGAAGTTTTAACTGGAAGCAGTGGTTCGATCTTTACCAAAGCTTCATCGTGTCTGCAACCTGTCGAACACCGTTCTGTTTCGACACCGTTGCTTCCACCCGACAGTTCATCGAACCCCGACTGTCATGAAGCCTCCAGATCAGAAAAGTCGCCCGACCCTCTGTCTCCATCTTCCCCTTCTCCGGTCTTGGAGCCACCTACAAATCCGAAGAAAAAGAAAGCTACAATCGTCATTCAGTGTGAGGCTGTCTCCACTCCGCTAGTCATCATTCGGGCTCCTGAGACTAAGAAACTCAGCCTCACAGTAAATGAAACATTTTCTACCCGAATTCAACGTTACGATGAGGATACCCCGAACGATGACGAATCCTCTCTTTACGAATACGATGGCAATTCGGACTTGTCTGCTTCTTCCAGTTCATCGGACTGCCCGCCAGTGGCCAAATATAGGGTAGACTCCTACTTTGGAGTCTTGTTAACAAGGCTCCAATCTTGTCCCTTAACATGTTTAAGGCCTTTATCCCGGAACGTCTAAGACGACTATTCTTTAGCCTGCTATTTTTTATTGGTTCGCATGTGGCGCCCAAGGAAGGGTAGTCACTTTGATGGACTGACAGTGACACTGAATTCCTGGCCGCGTGGTTTGGTTGTTCTACTTTGATCCTCCGCCCGCATTCAGCAATTGACTGTAGCTCCTTGAAATTAGAATAAGCGCACTGGGTGGACCTCAACAATCGCATCCAGTGACGGACAAAACCAAATGAGAGTTAGCTGGTGTACGCCCCCACTCGATAAATTTGTATGTGTAGTCTGATTCGGTCAGTAGGGTGAGACCGGCTGTGTTGCGACATGTGCGAACGGGGGTAATTACTAGGTCGGCCATGGTGTTCAAACCTGTTGGCAGTCATTTTGACCTTGTCTTACAACCAGAATATGATAGTTGTGAGAGGGGAGAGAAGGAGAGAAATCCATAACGCCTTACTCCTCCTTACCATAGTTTAAACCACACAAAAGTCGCTACTTTCCCGACCTAATGGCCGTCATTGTAACGCCTGACTGACAAACTAATTGTCCTGTCGCATGCTATTTGTTTGAACAAGGTCGGCAAGAGAGACATAAGATTGTGTGTTATCTATACTACTAGCCACGTTTTGTGGTATAGAAGTTAGCTTTTCTGTGCTGCTCGTTTTTAAAAGAGGGTCACTACGAAGTCTCATCGAGTGGCCCATTTTCGCAGTGCAACTCTGTGCCACGGTTAACAGGCAACCTCCTAAAACATGCAGCGTGCCAGACGTTCCAGGTGAAAACTTTGTTAACCTTGAATAATGCGCTCTTTTTCAGATGTTTGTTGGCATATATGTCTATCACTTGTAGACTTCATCGGGCCGGCCGAGGCGGAGAGCCTGTCCAAAATGTCGACAAAAATTTATACGTAGAGATGCCTACAAGAAACATTTGGTTCGCGTGCACGGCCTCCTACCGATATGTTGCGAAGAAGAGGGTAGGTTGGTGATTTCAAGCACTTGCTATTCGAAGACTTTCGTGCTAAACCTGTTTCAGTCAGAAGCATGACAGTGAAAAAAATCTCACCACGTGTACAAAATTTGATGCACGGCCTTCAATCTGCGTGGCTTGTCCAGTATTCCATGTCCTCACAACTTTTCTTCGCATAGCACTTTGATGTTAGCCGCCCCCCACTTTGCATAACTGCTTGGTAAAATTTTTTTGTGGATTTTTTTACCCTATTTGTTATACTTTAGAGCGCAAATACATCGCTTCCATGATATACTAGTTTTGTGCCAAAATGCGGCTTTTGCTAATCAGACTGAATTTTCGCCTTGCTAGTGGTGATTCCTAGGCATCAGCGTCATTAGATAGTCTCATTGGGCCAATTTCTAAAAGTCCAGTTGTAAATTGTGGCTGACTCGGCGTTTACTCCCCCCCCCTGCCAAACAAGGATCATTGTGATGTTACTTATCGCATTAGTAGTAATATGAATAGTTCACATTAAAAACAGTAAACGTGGTAGTAATACCATTAGTTTTAACGGCAGTAGTAATGGCAACCATAGGAGATAGGAATTTATGGTTTTTGGTAGTGTCAATGGTAGTGGTAGTAATAGTTGTTTCGTCGGTGTTGAGGTGATGGCATGGATAATGACAATTGATTGTCCTCATCTTTTTAGGATGCAAGGAACGATTTTCTACCCTGTCAGAACTATTTAAACACCGCAAGACACATGACCCCAACTGCCACTTCCCCTGCATGAGTTGTCGTCGCGTCTTTACTTCGGCTCATGCCCGTGCTGTAAGCTCATTCTCATATCTTCATGTCTTAACGACTTTCATCATACTGATTCAGCCGTCTTCTTGCCAAAACTTAACCGCATTTCGAATAACTGTCACCTAATCGAGTCGGTTAGTGGCGGACAACCGCACGTGGTCTGGTTACTTGGCGTGTCAACCGTACAAACCACCGACTGAGGAGACAGAAATATGCTCAAAATCCACTTCCAGTACGTCCATCCGTATCTTCTGTTGGCGATCTCAGTATCGTTGCCGGCAGAGTCGGACGAGTTGACGTCCTGTGCAACTTCGTTCTGTGATCAGCGCTGCCCAAGACCGAGCCACCTGAATAGGTGGTTAAGGAGGCTGCATTTGGCCGGTGATTTTCCTAACTTACCCAACAGGCCTTCATTGGTGGTGCTGTTGGAGAGCAGTGTCCGATAATGGGGTGTTCCCAGCTTCCATCGAATACTGCCAGGTATCGGATTTCCTCTGGACGTGTGGATACTGTCTCGAATCCGCCTATCTGCATTCACGTTACACAGGCCTGGAGTTATTCATCTGGTTGATCTTGACCCTACTACGGAAGTCTTGCTGAATTCAACCGAAGGCTTCGCCCCCCTTCTTGTTGTTGCCATTATCAATTTTACTCCTGGTCATCCGTTGTAAGCACGTTTCGACGCGAGTTATCGGAAATTTTTCGTTATCTCGAAAGTTTCGTCGTCTACCATAAATAGGTAGGTATCTCTAGATTATGGATCTTAACCTATCGTGGAGGAGTTAATTTTCTGACTCACTTCAGCCTCATTCGTACCGGAGATACAGCACGACACATTTTTTTCCCGAAGGCTCTAGGCAGCACTGCTGTGTCATCAGCGTGCCGAAGGTCTGTGTCTGCCAACGCGTGCAAGAGTCCAACTACTAAGAAAACATATTCTTGGTGAGTGCCGGAGATGTTGTTAGGCGGATCACTCGTTGACTGTAGCCCGAATTTCTCGTCGTTCTGTATGAATGGTTTGGGTCAGTCGTGAGATTTTCAATAGCCGGTTTCAATACTGTTCCGGACAGTACTTCTGCACCCGTGGCAGTTTGTGGTACTGGGACTGCTGAGCTCAATTCCTCTCCTGCGATGTGTTTAAACCCAAATAACCCAAGAGCCTCTTCGAGTTTCTGACAGACATTAACAAACCAAGTTTTTGAGCTGGCCACGTCTGCGTTGCTTTAAATGAGGAAAGGATGTTGCATTTAAGGTAAGAGCACTGAGCTTGCGATAAATTTATTCCGGTCAGTTCGGCCTCCCTTTGCATGACCTGATGACAGTTCGACCATCGTTTCCGAAGATGTCCACTGTGTGCTCCACAGCAAGGTGCAGCAGACACGGCAACTTGCGCGTAAATTAATTGAAAGTAATGGTAGACTTGCGCAGCACCTACCGCACTTTCTCTTCTCCACTTCGCACGTGGACCCGGCGTCAAGACATAGTCAAGAAGACCGGAGGCAAGGGAGCGCGCAGGTGACTGGCGCGGCCGAACCCGCACCTAGGCGCGCCACTACACCCCCTGGTGGGTGTAAAGGACGCACTGGGTGTGATAGAGCTTGTGGCGGTGGGCGCGCAGGGCGGCGGAGTGAGGGCTGGGCTAGGCAAGGTAGGTGTGTTGGATGTGTTGTGTAGAGATTGCGGTCAATTTCGCCCTCGTGGATACACATGTGGCCGAATAGACCCATGCGGTGAGTGAATGTGCGGGGACAGTGGAGGCGGATGCGGCGGGTGTAAGTTGGTGCTCCAGGCACTGGTTCGCCAGTATCTGTGCGATGGATTCGCAAGTGACCGACCAGGCCGATGTGCGAAGTGAGGGTGAGATCGCAATGAGGACAGGTGTAGACCAGGTTCTCACCACCGGTGTCGACAGTGATGGTGTTGGTGTGTCAGGATTGTGTGTGATGTTGATGTACGTGGCGGACACCACAACGGCAGACGTTGAGGCAGTGGGGGAGGAGGAAGAGAGTGTGTTGTTTCAATTTTGGTTGTTTTGACCGTGAGGTTTGCGTTTGCGACCACAGTCCGTTCGCAGACGCTGTGGTTCCCAGCGTTTGTTTATTTCACCCTTTCTAATCCCTTTCCCCTTTCAGGGGTGAGCAGTGCAATCCCTTAATAGGGCTTTTCAGTTGTCCCAGGCGGCCACCGAACTCCACTATGGGCCACGACTTTTGTTTAGTGGGAGAGCGACCCGAGCTAGCCCGGGACTGCCTACGACGACGCGTAAACGAGAGTAGAGAGACGGGAGGCCTTGCTTTCCCGTTAGTTCTCTAGGTTTACTGGATGGCAAAATAGGAGTGGGGAGCAGGCATATTCAACAGAACGACATTTAACTTACAGTAAGGACGGAAACGAGCAAGCAGACAAGGATAACAAGAAGCAAAGGCAACACAGGAAATCTAACAGAGCGGCAATTAGCTTTCAACCAGGACAAACACAGGCAAACAGACAGAGAGCATGCAAAAAGAACAAGCAGAGCAAGGGCAGCAGAACAACGTTCGCTTACCTGGGGGCTCACTTACCTTGTGGCCTCCTGCGGTGTACCAGACGCGGAGCCTCGTCACGGCGATGTCGATGCGGCGATCCGTCCGGCCAGCGGAGTCCACATTACCGTGCCCGCGGATGCACACGCGGATACGCTCACCCAATTTAGCCTGTCGGTCGAGGCGGTTGCCGGCGTGTGGCTGTTAGGCAGTGCCTGGCTTCGGCGAGCCACATGTAAGAGTTGGGTGTTAGCAAATGGACACTAAGCGTAGTCTGCATCTGCAAGCATAACCTGATATACCCACACTGTCATGTTCCTTTCTTCTAAGGCTGGCGCCTCGGTTTCCGTTCATCAGCGCGCATGGTCCAATGTTCAAAACCGAATGGGAGGCATGCATGACTGAATGACATGAATGTGGACTTCTTGGGTAGTCCAGACATTACGGTGGGGGCAGGCGTACATTTGAATGTTAGCGGGAACCATGCAAACAACCTTACTTTATAGAACCACATCTCCATTCCGTGACTAGGTAGCGGTAAGTTGGCTCAGTTATATTGCACACTCCTATTCTGGGTACCACTAATCGCAAGAAGTGCCGTAGCTCGGTGACATTTTGTGTTTTGCAAACCTTATCAGGCCACCTTGTTCTTCCACGGCACCGTACATGCCTCATGTCATTGTAGCCTAGTGGTCGGAGGGCGGTTTAGTCAACATTGTCGATTTCGCTTCAATCCTGTCTTCTTTCTGAGTTTTCTGACAGCCTAACGTTTTCTTTTCGTTCAGCGCCCCTGCGCAGTTTGTCTGAAAACGGCGTAAGTCGGCTAAAGTCCCTTCGGCTTTTGAGCGTCTACAAAAAGAATTAGAGCAACCGGTTCTTGCGGATCAGGACAAGTTGATCTCCTTTGCGGATTCTTATTCTGCTTGATTCGAAAAGACTTCTGCAGACCTGATGCCCAACTCCGTTTTTTCAAAGCCACCACAAAGTGTTTGCATGCATGCATGCGTGTGTCCCCCCCCCCCGCAAACGGACTTTTCTGTAGGTGCGCTAGACCAGGCTGGCTCATGACACGCGCTTGTCAAGCCGTGCTGAGTCTGCACGAGTCGTTACCTAGTGCCTCACATTCCTGTACCACACCGTAGACGAATGCCTTTACGCCAGGTCACCCAATGCGCCCAGTCTAACTTCCAGTCGGCCTAGCTCAGACAGACTGTTGATGCATGTGAGATTAGAGAGTGAAGTCGACGCATGATAATCCATCTTCACAGCAATCCAGCGCATTCCTCACTAGTAGATCTCGTGCGTTTAAGTCTATCACGACGCGCCAAGAGTCGTGATTTAGAAGATCGCCAACTAAGGGGGTTAAATGCATCCTTCTCAGGACTGAGGATCGAACTATAATGGCTCCTTAATGTCGTTATAGGAGATCCGAAACCCCGAAAGGCAATCCGGTGCATGTGGAGCGGAGCCGTGCCGCCTACGGTACGCGTAGACGGGCTATTTAGGTCTGTCTGCCACTACGTCCATGCGCACGCCCGGTTGTCTTGGTCTTTATATCGGAGCAAGGTGGGTGACGGAAGAAAGAAAGAAATCTTCTCCACTGTACGCAGATGCACACGCAAGTCACTGTCTTGCCCACCCCGTGAAGCAGTGATAGATCTCGTTGACTGCGACGACCGAGTTATCGCTTTTTTGTATGAGGTTTAGGGGGGTGTCATGGGATTAATTGGCGAGTTTTTTGACCATTTCGTGACAATGCACGAGCAGATCTCACCGAACACATCAATGACCTTGGTGCCACCTCCCACCCCCTCTCTGTCACCCAGCCCACCTCTGTGACTCCTCGACATTGTAATCTGCACGACTGCCACGTCCTGATAACCGTCCTTGAGCGGTTGGGTAGCCCAGGCGAGAATATCCAGTATCTGTGTCTCCATTTGTTAATCCCCACCGCCCTCCGCCCCAAACAAAACGTCCTGTGGAGAGAGTGCAGTCGTCCCGCAAGCGGCTTCGATTAATTCAGGTGGTTTTTTCCTCACACCAATGTCCTGGCTCGTGGTAGAATTCGTCATCTGCCTCGGACGGTTCACAGCCCGATTCGGACATCGTCGTTCGTGACGGTCGAACGGACATTGCGAAGTGCGCTGTTTAGTTCCTCACAGTGTAAGGGGTTATGATACATGTCCAAAAATGCCAATAACGACACCGTCTGCTCATGGGCGCTAAAAACAGTTTAAACTCTATGAAACAGCGGCAACCCCCTCATCCCCTAGCAATCCATGGTTCGCCAGAATGAGCAGACTCATTCTATCATCCCAGAATACTCGTTCCATTTCAGACAACCCACTAACCAAGAGGGAGGGCAGCTTTGGTTGCCCGCAAATAGTTTCCATATGAGGTGTAACCCTCTTTTGCGACCAAGGACAGCTGAACGAAGGAGGAGCGGGATGCACCTGAGAGCGCTGAGACGTTAGAGTCGCCTTTACCATAGAACAGCTGTCCAGCCTCCATGGGGAATCTTCTATGGTCACATGGCTGCGAAGCTCTCACTCTGTGGGGTGAACTTTGCCAGTCACCAACGCCTATGCTTCCCCCAAGCGACAAACAAGGAGGACGTGAAGGACAAGTTCTGTGAAGTTCTGCACGTCTGCTCGGCCATTTTGGGGGCGGAACAATTACTAATTCCCGATAATTTCAATGCTCGCGTTGTCACAGACCACGTCACTTCGAAGGCAGTCATAAGTCATTACGTAGTCGGAAACGTTCTCCCGTTGCCAAACTGAGGAAAGACAGCGTGAATGCACCGTCGCTCTTGTTACTGGCAACTGTTGGACCACGCCCTCATCAGGAGGAGAGGCCAACGTGTTGCGCTGGTGGGAAATGTGACGTGGTGCGTAACACTCAACCGGCCACTGCTTTATCATTTTAAACACATTATAACCCCATCACGTAGGAGACAAACTAAACGTAAGAAAGCACCAAGTAAGATAAACGCTTTACTCAGAATGGAATTACCGACAAAGACAAGGGAGACTGAAGTGGCCATTTCTGACTTATTAGCCGTCGTCAGCCAGTCACACCCAACCCCGAAGTGTGGAGCACCCGAGGCTCGAACTCGCGACCTGTTAGTTAGAAGTCCACGCCTCTAACCACTGGGCCACGAGCCCGTTGCCTTGTCGGTTTCGACCGGACTTCTAACTAACAGGTCGCGAGTTCGAGCCTCGGGTGTTCCACACTTCGGGGTTGGGTATGGCTGGCTGGCGACGGCTAATAAGTCAGAAACGACCATTCCAGTCTCCCTTGTCTTTGTCGGTAATATCATTCTGCCTATATCATGCGCCGTTCTGCGGCTGCTGGTTGGGCTCGAGAGAGAGCCCGTAAGGCACAACGGCACGAGTGAGTTCCGTAAGAACAACCGGTGAGCGCCCCCTACCAAACGCTATATTATTTTATATCTCTGAGGGCCGACCAAATCACCGCTGTAGAATGAGCGTCAGAGGTAAAGGCAAGTTCGGGAGGAGGAAGCCGTTGAGCTCAGATGAAAGAAACTGCAGGATGCCCTTGTTGTGGAAACAGGAAATGAAACAGGTACTACGAAAGTCTCGTACACTGTACACTCATTCACACCAGTCACCACCACGTTCTTGGAACAGTGATAGTCCTCGCAGTTCGCGATGGATGGACTATCGGCAACGGACGCAGTAGCGGCCTGAATGTCACTTGTTGCCATTGCGTAGCCTTCTTTGTCTAAAAGTGCACCACAAGCCACCAAATGCCGTTTTTTGTAAATGCCTTCGCTAGACTAACGTTTGTCAGAGCGCTTGTTGTTTTGACCCCTGCCCTCTCGCTCCACAGGTTCATGCACGCACGCACCTCCGTCGCCGTTCGATCATATGTGATGACTGTGGCATGCTCTTCAAGCAACTCTCCCACCTACATAATCACCTTCGGCGGGTTCATCAGAAGACAGTCAGACCGAATTCTCTGGTGCCCCGAGTCCCTCTACAGCCTCAACCGCCAAAAGGTATTATCTTCTTCCCAAATTGCGGCGGCCTCTGTCCTTCATTACTGAGTTGGGTCCTAGGACTTTCGTAGTACAAGTCTTTTCTCTGATGGAAGTCCCGCCTGCGTGTAATGTCGTGTCTACTGGCCGGTTTGAGCTACATTACCACCGAGTCCCATGTTTTCTGTGTCATAGGATCCTTCCGTTTCCTGTGTTTTGTTTAAAGTAGCATGTTTTAGCCGAAACACCTGAGGCGCTGGCACCCACATATAGACCTTCAAACGTAAGCCAATCTTCAGGTTTGGCTGTGACAGCTACCTGCGTCCCCCCCTCATCTCCGGTCTTCTTGACTATGTCTTGGCACCGGGCCCAGGTGGGGAGAGCGCGTTATATGCTGCGCAAGTCCGCGCTAATTATAAAATAATTCACGCGCAAGTCACTGTGCGTGCTTCACCTTGTCGTAGAGCATACGGTGGACACCGTCGGGCACAACGATTGAACTGTTGTACTGGATCTAGTTCCGCGTTTATCCACGGTAATACAGACCGACTTTTCAGCGAGGTTCGCCATCCGCTCACGATAAGCATAACATGAGCATTTTATTTTTTCCTAGAAAGCGCTTGTAAGGAACTTTTCTTAGAATTGAGTCATTTATGAAGTTGGTATGTAAACGCACATCATACCTTGGTTGCAACACATTTCCGTAATTCGAATATGTTTTTCGCGCTATGACTTACGTTGTTAAGACATCCCAAATGTAAAAAAGCAACAACTTCCCAAACTCTGGACACCCATGCTCCCTCTAGAAGCACATTGTGGACTTCGTGATGGACCTGATGCGGTCGACTTGTGGACCTTCAGAAACATGTCTTTAAGCATGCTTCTGCAGATCCCTAGATTCCAAATTTTTCGAAGAAAAAGTAAATGAGTTCAAACACTGCTCTTACAAAGGGTGTCAGTTATTCAACAGTATGTTCAGGAATATACGCCAAGGCACAGCGGGACCAACATGTCCCCTATCCCGACTCACATTCAGACAAGAATAGGCGCACACCGATCCCCTTGTTTCCTGAAGAACATAAGCCCCGTCTGGGTGGAAGAGGTCATGAGCAATCACCCATCAAACCGAACTCAGCCAATTCATGTTCCATCTCATTAAATATTAACCGAAATTCTTAAATGTGTTTTCGATTAAGAAAGATTATTTAAGTGTGGTTGTGATACTGATTGTCGTACAACGTAATCCCATGATATTTTAGACACACCAGAAGGTTTGTTTTCGGCCGTCCGCGAAAACCGCACTCGGCAAAAAATGATTACTTCAATGGCACGCATGTTTTCTATCTATTTTTGATACCCGCATAAATCCAAATGAAATTTATAGAAAACATGCAAAAATATTCTTTCTTCTACTTATTTGGTAGCCAATCACTTCATATTGTATGCTGTGGGGAAGGGCGTATTTAGGTTTTTAAGCAGGTTTTCAATTCCAAATAACTGAGTGTGATCAGTTGTTGGATTTGCATACAGGATTTTCGGTCCACGTGCTGTATACTTTCCGTGTGAGGAAAATCGTACATTCCTCTATGCCGTTAAGAAGTTACCATTTGAGGCTCAAAATTTTGCGGTAGATCTGGACCGTGTTGTATACTTCCCGATGAGCATTAAAAACAGGCAGATACAATGCTATTTAAGTGGACATTGGAAGATCCTTAAAGACCACATAACTGCAAACTTTTAAAAACCGGAAGACACCCTTTTCGAGCATAGAATTTGAAGAGAAGTGATTTTCCACCAAATGAGTACAAGAAAGAATATTTCTGTGAATATTTCCTATGAAATATATTTAAATTTATAGGGTCATTGAAAATCGATTGAAAAGTGCATACTATTTATGCAGTCCATTGTTACCTGGTGCGCTTTTTGCAGACGGTCGGAAAGAATTGCGTTCAAAACCCATCATCTTCGCATGTGTGAAATATCATGGGATTATGCCGCACGATAATCAATATTACAATCTCAACCGCAAGCGTATTTTAGAATTTTAGTTAAAATTTTATGAGATCCACCACCGACTGTATTTCTCCTTTCTTGACCGGGCAGGACCGAAGGTGTCCTCTTTCAATCTTAGTGAGAATCTTTTGTCCGTGACCCCTACACCGCATGTCGCTTGTTCATGCATACGCTAGGTTCAGCGTTTCCGCACAAACTAAGCCGATTTAAAAGCCCCTTACACCGTTTTGTCTTTAGCGCCGAGTGAGTAATACAGGTGCTTGTCAGTGTGAATTCTGTTGTCTAGAAGTCTTTCCGAATTTGTTGTTTCCACAGTTCTGCAGCCTTTTTTACTCCTTATTACAGCCCCGGTAAAACACGTCATTAAATGTTAACTTATGTTCTTGGCCTGCCTCCTTCTGAAACATAGCGATAGTGTTTCCTTACAAATATCTAAGAGGGCTGGGAAAGCTAAATAGGAAGGCTAACTTCCCCCCAACTCCAGTTGAATCGAATTACCGAGCCACCATTTTGAGGTGGGCCACAGTTTGTACCGCCAGTTCGGGAAGTTAATACTTTGTCGGACACAAGAATATGGACTCCTAGTACTAGATGTGGCCTCACGCTAAATTCCGGGCGGGGGTCCTGACTTTAATATTAACCCTTATCCTCCTAACCATACCACTGGCCCACGTAAACCTAACCCTAGCTATGAGCCGAATCCTAGCCCTCCTAACACTAACCATAACTCTAATCCCCTGGAATTTTAGGCAAAGCCATCTTTAATACGGGCGTCCATATTCCCGTGTCCAACCTAATACGCTTCTGTTAGCGTCTCTTGCGTTAAATCCTTTGCATATTTTTCCCTTCACCCCCGCCCTGGTTATCTATGCGGTTTTATCCTTATTTTCCACAATGTGAACTCCCATCAGTCGCGCTTATATGTGCGGGCTGAGGTCTCAGTATTTCAGGCATATTCTGTCGCCAGTTAAAAGTTTAGGTTAGATGATAGTTGGTAGCCCTCCTGAAACCGCAAACTCCCAGCTGTCTGTCAATCGGGACCGGTGGTAAAAGGAGCTATATGGTTAGGACAATTGAGTGGACGGGTAAATGGCGATTGTATTATATGCTAGGAATTGACGTAAAGTGGAAGCCTAATTTAGATTAGGTGAAAAATACAAGGAAGGTATGAAAATGAGCAAGGAGACTTTGAACGGTGTGTGGAATAAATGCATCCTAGCCTCAGATTGGAAAGAAAAGCAAGTGAAGGCGAACAATCAATGGGAAGAAGGCAACTGGTCCGAAGGTCATTCCGCAGTGTGCGCGATAGAACTCCATCCAACATAGTGGACAGAAGAACACGAGAGTAAAGCAGCGGCACGCGGGACGCCACAATGCAAGCCGGGTAAGACTTTTATGCGAGAATGTGGTTTGGGCGAAAAAGAAAATCCGCAAATAATGAGGCAGTCGAAAGCTACCTCTGCTAATGGAAGTGGATAAAGTGTAAGCCTCATTGGCATCGTTACCGGTGCCAATCCGCCCAAGATAGTACCTCTACAATGAATGAGGCAGTCAAGAGCTACCTCTTTTTATGAAAGTTGATGTAGGGAAAGCCTCTTTGTCATCGTTACCGGTGCCCAGGATAGTACCACCACAATGAATCTGGTACAGGTACTACAGCAAGCATGCAAATTTAGAAACATAATGAGAACGTAATTATAACTGCTGAAATCAAGTCAGTAGGTACAGTTGTGGATTCTGTGGGCACGGTTGCCAACTCCCTCTTCTAATGAAATTTGACATAGGGTAAGCCTCATTATCATCGTTACCGGTGCAAATCTGCCCAGGATAGTACCTCTAAAATGAATCTGATACAGGTAATACAGCGTGCGCGTGAATTTAGAAGCATAATGAGAACGCAAGCACAGCTACTGAAATCGAGCCAGTAGGTACCATTGTGGAGTCTGTGGGCACGGCTACCAACTATCATCTTACCAAAGTTTACTTTGTAGTCAGTATCAACTTAAATTATTGTTTCATCCTTACTTTCAGAGGGTGCAGACAACCAAAATCCCGCTGCCTTGCACGTAGACCTGGGGCGATTCCGAGCGATTATGGTGAGAGTTCCTATTACGTACTACTCATTTTTACACCTCAGTTCGCGTTCCATTTGGTAACAAAATGACTAGAGATAGGAAATTGTGTAGCTACTGACCTCGGCATTCGTCCCAGTCAGCGCGTTTCACAGTATGCTGGTTTCTTCTTCCCAACGGAGCCGAACTCCACATATTTGAAAGCCCACATCCATAGGAATTGTGACGATGAGGTATGTGGCCTTACTAAAGAAGTGGGAGGCAAAAACTCTCGTAGTACAAGAATTGTGATAGTAGAGGTTTTGTGGGGTTGAGGGGGGGGGGTAAACAGAACTGACAGATGGCTGTTTTCGGAAAGCGAGTACAAAAAGGTATATCTAAGCTGTTAGATTGCTTAAATACGCCAATGATTCGTAAAAACGCGAGCGCGCAGTTCTAAATACTTAAAATTAGGAGCTGTAAACGGGCGGAAAAGAGGAAGTTCGAGGGTATTGGTTAGATATTCCAGGCGGACTAATCCTAGCCCGAGACGGCCAGTCACTTTGAGGAACGCTTGAAGAATATGTCGTTAGATCCGACTCATGATGGCCGCGACTGAAGATTTAATCGATTTTTACAACGTTTATAGCCTAACTCCAACGTTTGAATTCTAACCCTAACCTCAAACCGTAACTTCCTAAGTCGAACGCCAACCCTAATGGTAACACCTGAGGGGGGCGTGACGAGGAGTGAGTAGAATAGAAGGAGGTTAAATTAAGCCTGCCCAAATGACATAAGTAGGTATGTCATAAAAGTAAAAACTATGTGGGGGCACATACCCGGTCGTCACCAAAATTGTCAGCAGAGTTGTATAAAGGAGCTATTACAGACTGCTTTTGGTCAAAGGGATACTTTGCAACTTGTTGGTAGCCTTCTAGACACTTTGTATGCCAGTGCTATGGCTTGACTGTTTATTGTGGTGAGGGAATGTTCGACTGTCCTCCACCTTCTTCCTTTCGTGTCTTGGTTGCAAGCATGCATCAAGATGACTGGATATGGGTATACTCCTTGCTCCGGCAAACATAATCTAGGCCTAATTTGTATAGCTATTCTCACAGAGAATGTCGGCCCGCCTGGACTTTCAGAATGTTTGGTGAGCATCTGCTGTGACGCGATATTTTTTTCACCTTCTAAGAAGCCGAGTTATTTCGCTTAATACCAACCTGTATGCTTGTTGTATTCTGTCGAAATTAATGTTGTTAAGCACGAGCATTTATTGAAAATCTGTGCTGTCTAACCAACATATGTCAGTATAAGTACTAGCTGAAAGCCCAGGCACTTGATCTGCCGCTGAGTTTTCTGCAGTTGCATGGGACAGCTGCAAGAGGTCCGATTCCACAATAAGTTCCCTAGCGTTACCTATGGTATTTCTGTTTTGCACGCACAAAAGTTTCTGAACTCCGAACGAATTCTGATCGACAAGGCTTTTTAGGTTAATTTGTCCGTTAGATAGAAATTACTCAGTTGTTGGACAGACGTGCATGAATATTACTTGGTTGTTTTGCTGTATCTGATAGAATTCGGCTCGGTTGTGCCGGCTTTTAGTTGAATTTGAAAAGGCGTTACTTCAAGTTCACACGTAAGTTCCAGCCAAAGTTGTGGCCATAAAATTTGGGTCGTACTTGAGACTCCACGCGAGTTGTCTCGTTGTTTCTCACTGATAACTGGTACTTGGTACGGCTGCGATCATGCCTGATCTAGCCGGCGTCGATGATGTCCCAAAATCTACCTCTCCACCCGTGACGATCCGCAGCAGCAGATCTGGACAGTTCAACTCATTCTTTCCGCCAACGACGGAGACCGAATGCCGAAGGTCCAAGAACCATCTCCATGTCTTGACGAACTGTGTCGAGCCAGGTTTTGAGTTTACTCCCTCTTCAACGTCTCCAATGGGGTTAACGGTGCCGGGTCGAGGACAGTAACACTGAGCTCCTGAGGTGGACGACGAAGAACATGCCCAAACCACCTCAGTCGTCCTTCTTGGATGGCCTGGGTTATTCTCGCGAGGTTGTCGCAGCGAGAGCGGACTGTCTCATTTGAGACGAAGTCGGTATACTTTATTTGAAGAATGGTCTTCAAGCAATAGTGGTCAAATACCTCCAGTTTTCGCTCGTCCTCCACGCGCACAGCCCAGCATTTACAACCGTAGAGAAGGACAGACCGGACAGATGCACGCTGCACGCGAATCTTAGTGGCGATGGAGATGTCGCATCGGATCACTAGGCATTTTCTAAGGCTTGAGAAAATCCGGTGGGTAGCATCAATTCGGGAGACGATGTCGTCCTTACTCTGTCCTTTCAGCAGCGGCCTCTCGCCGAGGTATTTAAAACTGTCTACTTCAAGTTGACAGCTAACAATCTCGGGAGGTGTCTTCTTCTGGTCAGGGATGCAGCTTGAAAACACTTTGGTCTTCCCAGTGTTTATGGATAAACCGACCGATTTCGCGACCTCGTTCACCCGTGACACCATAGACTGCAGATCACCAAAACTTGAAGCAACTAAGGCGATATCATCGGCGTAGTCGAGATCAGTCAGTCGGTGTCCAAGTGCAAACTCGATGCCGTTACCCTCGTGTAGGACCCTCCCGAGAATCCAGTCAACAGCGTAGTTGAACAGAACGTACGACAGGATATAACCCCGTTGAACGTCAGACCGAGTACCAAACGATTGGGGAAGATTGTTGCGGACTAGAACTCGTGTGATTGTGAAACGATAATAGGCCTTGATCATGGCGATGATTTTTGGCGGTACATCATCTAGCACCGTTATCTGCCACGGGTACTCATGTTAGACGGAATCGAACTCGACGGCGAAGTCAACAAAGCAGACGGCCGTCGGTTGCTGGTGGCTATGGCAAAACTCGAGGGCTGCGGAGCGCGCCGGTTCCCGCGGACACCGTAGTATGGGTCGTAATACTATAGTCGGACATATTTCATGGGGTTTCATGGAAATTCCGGATACAGGCGGGTCCCCAGCAGTTGTCTTCTCTGGCGCTTTGGCTTAAAAGCCTAGCCACAAGGCAGCGGTGACAAGCAAACTTATTTACTGGCGGTTTGCGGTCGCCATGTCACAATGTTGTCATTGGGCTTTACGGCTTTTCGTAAGGCTTTCAGCGTGCCGGACCTCAACCGTCCGCTCTCTGGTAGCACTGTCGCTGCTGGTCCGCGACTGCTTATTCGTCAGACCTGAATCTGCTTATTTCGCAGCTAACCTTCACTGAAGACCGTTGCACTATCCGCCACCTGTGGACGTGCTGGGTAGCCAGCAGCTAGGCTAACGGGCAACCCCTCTTCCCGGGACAACCCGTCTTCCCAGGTTGGTATCTTTCGGACGTCATAAGTTTCTGACTCACACCTATCAGTTGTTCCAGTCACAAATGTCCCCGTATATTTTATACAAAACAAGCCTTTTCCATAAACTAAAATCCTAAGCAGGCCTGTGTCGATGTACGTCTATCTCGGCCAAATACCGACTAGCTCCTGCTCGTTCCGTGGGGCTCTCTAGTCCGACCTAATGGTCAGAATGAACAATCACTGGAAGAAGCAGCTTGTCTTGTCGTCGTCATTCACCTCCTGTATTTACTGAAGACATTCTACTTGAACCTGAGTCATTCTTTTCGGACGAAGTAGAATTCACTGCTTAGATCAATACAGGCAAGCATATCCCAGGTTCTTAGTGTAAGGCAGAAGAATGTACAAGCATTGGGCCGGTCAAAAGGAGAGATATTTATTACCTTCTAGGGGGAGAGTTATTGGCTGCAAACTGTGTGGCGCATTCACAAGCGGTCCTAAGTTTCTGAGTGCGTGACAATGTGTTTACATGTCTTCTACCAGACATTCGAATTCGCAGGTTTTCACATTCCTCAGGAATTAATCGCTAACTTGTAGCTGTGTCATGCAGCGGTGGAATATCGACGAAACACGTGTCTGGGCTTTTAATTAGTATCTGTGCTGTCAAGTATGGTATATGGTACAACGTATCCATATTCAAATTAGTTTGAAAATTAATTATCAGTTTTTTTTGGTCCACAGATATGTGAGAGGTTTTAGTTATTTGAAATTTGCAGAATCGTCTGCAACTGTACTCGCTCCACGCTCTAAACCAGTTAATCGACTATAGGCTAACGACGTCATCCTGCTTTGCAGTCAACCGGATACGGAGCCCTGGTGTATGAGGTGTGACCTGCGGACCAATCGTATTGTGTCTAGGTTATTCGGTCTCTCTCATTCAAAGTCTGGCCTGTGTCTTAGTCACCGGCCTTCCTGACCTGCGCACGAACTGTGGTCTTCTGAAGACAGACGAGCCAGTAGTAGCGCTTCCACTCTCTTATATTCGGTTGGAACCATCCTTCCTCTAACCGAAAAGTCTGGCCGCGTGCGCTAGTTTGAACGGTTTCTAAGCCAGATCCTGACTGCTCTGCACTTCTGACGTCTTTTATACAGTTGAACTTTGTGCTCATCCGCATGTCTTGTGTACGAGTTTTCGTCATTTTTGTTAGCCAAAGCCAGCACAGTCAAGCCAGCCGACAAGGAAGCTTCCTATCGCTCGCAATTCATCCACTCGATCTGTGAATACTCCCAGCACCACCACAGTGTCCTGTTGCGCTGCCCTCGAGCCCGTCACTTCTGCTGTCCTTCCGTCTGATGACAAAAAGCTTATTAATACTGCGGATTTTCCTGTCACACTTCCAGCAGCGTCTCAGTCGGTTGGGCAGACCCTCCAACTTCAGCCTCTACCTGCTACCGGTGGACATCCCATCCTCCTGATAGCCCCAGTCTGCCCGAGCAGCGTCGTTGACGACGCCTCTGCTCTACCGTCGGCTTTGTTTACTATTTCAGACCCTTTAGCGGGCTACCCCACTTGGAGTATGGCAACAAATGGGGATCAGGCAAGTGTGCTCTTTACCTTTCCCGCCTGTTCTTCAGCGCCGCATGTTTTCACTGTGTACACAAATTGTGAAATTTTGCCGATCGGGTCCTATTTAAGTCCAGTAAAATCGACGGTTGAGACCAGCCTTCTACATTCGGTACCTCTTTTGCCTACCCATATCCGTTCCACAGGAACCTATTAGCATCACAGGCTTTCTTTTGAAGCCTATTTAAACATCGGGATCTTCCTTGAGTTAAAACCAGCAGTGAGCGTGCCGGTCAGAATTACCGGCTTTCGGCGACCTTACACATCCTCCATTACCAGTGTCTACCCGACAGTAGACATTCCGTGGACCCAAAACTGACGTTCCGAGACCCGTGTAAACAGCGACCTCATGTTGTAGGCCTGGTCTTCTAATGGTCATTTGATATCTCCATTGCTTGTCTGTTACTTTTTTAGTTAAAATGCCCTTTCTGAACTGCAAACTATGTCCTGAACTTGACTTTCATAGTCGTGGAATATTAACGTGCCTTACCAGTTTTGAACTGAACTCCGGCATTGCCGTTATTAATATTCATTGTTTGAAGCAGTTGTAATTTACCGGTTTCTTCATCCGCCTTTTGTGTCGTGCATAAACAGACGGCAGCTGAATCACTGACGTCTCTAAATTCTGTTTTTATTGGAATTCACGCCTTTTTGATGTTTACAATAATACTCACACCGTCTTCGTTTACTGCCAGACATGCGGCCCAACTACCCTAGTTAAGTGAAGGACACACACGGAGCGCAGAGGTAATTAAACGACTGTGCTCCTCGACTACACTATTCAGACTTCAACCCGATTTTGCACCACCGTATCCAACTAATCATCTTGTCACATTGCTTATTAACGCAGTCGAGACCAGCTAGAGCAGCTTATTTCCGTCGCGAAGCATGCTGTATTCAGTTACCGTCTCCGTGAAATTCCCACCTGGCAGCTAACCTACCTCCTTCTCTCTTCCACTCAGCTGTTTCCCCAACTTGTTGCTCTTCCACATATCCTGCCAAACGCTGTCACTGGCAATCTTCAACAGTCCTGTCTGGTGTACAGTCTGCCGCCGCCCACCAGTCTCCAATCAGATCCTAATGTCTTCTTCAAGACTCCCGAGTGCCCTAAACTAACTACGGACCCAGCCTCGATTGTCCCATCGACAGGGACGGTGGTTTATGCCGCTACAGACCTTGAAGACGGCAATTCCTACTGTGTGGACGCGGGCAACGATACCAGCAGTGGGGTAGGCCACGATATCTATCAACAGCAGTTCGACACTCCCACAGCTGTGCCTGATTCCAGTGAGAGGAGTAAGTGCCTACAGCAATGTTTGTGAAGCTTATTAATACTGGAACTTGAAGTGTCCTCAGAACAACAGAGCAACGCTGGAACCTGTACTCTGAAAAAGGATGCTCTGCTTTACTAAGTTGAACAATAGCATCGCATGCATCTCGTTATAGATTGGAATACTAATCTTCCTAGTATTGTAAAGGTAGTAGTAGTAGTAGCAGTAGTAGTAGTTAGTTAGTAGTAGCAGTTAGTAGCAGTGGCAATAGTAGTAGTAGTAGTAGTAGTGGTAGTAGTAGTAGTAGTAGTAGTAGTAGTAGTAGTAGTAGTAGCAGCAGCAGCAGCAGCAGTAGCAGCAGCAGCATAGTCCTCTCCAAGATGGGCAACAGAAATAGCAATCTGCCAATGGAAAATCTCTTACAGCCGAATGAATCGGTCATGCTTGTTAAGCTCCACCCGTTTCTAAGGTTTTTATTGTCAGTGTGCTCCATCCCGCATTTGCATCAGACAAGCAAAGTCCCTTGCCTATATTATGATCTCCGACAGCCGCTTCCTGCTGCCTCAGACAACCCTGACAGAACGGGCACCGTCTGTCCTGTAATCAGGCGACATCCTCGATCGTCGTCACATTTGGGTGAATACGTTGGAGCGCGATGGTTGACAATGTAGTTTTTAAGATCAACATTTTGGGAGACAGAATTAGTAGCAAGGTCAACTGCAGCAGGGAGCCGACGGGCAGTTCTGCGGTCGACGTCATCCTTTTTTATTAGTCGTGGCGCGAGGTGCTTGTGTGCGCTTGAGGCACAAATAAGCGGATCTACTCCAAGTTAACGATTAATCTCGGAGGAAATAAAAAATCTGCAATTGCGAAACTAGGACGTTTACCAAAAAGCACGCTGGGAGGCCTGCTGATGAGCCGAACCCCTCGCAGCTAGGCCATGCAGGGTAGACTGTCGGCGAACCGCGTTTGGGCTGTCAAGTGGGGTACATCGCACAACTCTCCCCCTTAATGACTCAATACCATACTAAGATACTGGCTGTTTCTCAGCCTCGATCATAGTGCATACTTTGAGCTATATAATGCCTGCCGGTTTTTGTATACAATAAGCACAAAAGCTTGCCTTTCTGGTATTCCGTCGGGCAAATTCTTAATAAGTGACTCTTTAAGCGGTCCCCTCTTTGACCTCGTCGCCTTATTTTGTTTTCCAGCTTCCACTACCTCTTTCCCATCCTCAAGTAAGTGTCGACTACTTTCAATTCTCCAGTTGTTAAGGTACCTCTGGCTGTAGTCGATACCTGGTCTCTCTTTCCTCTCCTTTCGGTCTTTATTTTACAACTACATAAGCATGGCCACCCGGTTCACTCATCCAGGATTTGAGCCAGTTTGGCCTAGTGCAAGTCTGCTTATTCCCCTTTTTGAGTGTTTTCTCTAATTGAAAAGTATTTCTCACGTGCGCATGACAGACGGATATAGTCATTTCGGACTCTTGATGTCTTCAGCGAGTGATATCTCGGTCCCAGACCCGGTGTACCAGAGGTTCTAAATCCGGACCCAATTTGCTATTAAGCACTAAACAGGATGCTCTGCCACTGGGCCAGACCCCGCCTTACTAATCACTGTTTATTTCTCCGCCGCTTTAGGTGTTGCCGAAAGCAACATTGAGTACTCCTCGAATGCTTTGCATGACCCCAGTCAACACTCGTTTACAACTTCATTCCCACCTATGGAGATCGTAGATCTTGACACGTCTATCAGTGCCGACGGCCCCGTCTTGCCTTCCACCGACACTGCCAATCAAGGTGTCTCTTCCGTCCCTTCCGAGCCCATGCCCTTTGACTCCTCCTGGCCCTCCTTCACTTACAGTGCACCGCTCATCTACGCGACTGACGCGACTTACATCTCCAGCCAGCAGACGATGGACTCATTGACATTCGAGTCTCCCCTACAAATCTCTTTTGAGGAGGAGATTGCGTCCGCCCCGCCACCGCCTCCCCTCGTAGACGGGTCTTCCTACACAATTACCCATACCCAGCAAATTGCATGACGTATGTGTAACTTTCTTTTACTACTGTCACCTTTACTTCGTGGTCCCGCTAGGTTTAGATCTGTCCTGCGCGTCTATATGCAGTTGCAGGAGTGTATATGGCTCTCGGGAAGGGCAGTCGCATTGCGGGGTTGGTAACTGTACCAACTGCTTTGCGATTCGAGATCTTTATGTCACTCTGATTCCACCTGCAGCCTAGGTCTCACCTGTGTCCCATAATCTTGGGCTCAGCCCAGCGGTCACTCATCTTAGCAACTACTTCAGCCGGTTTGGGGTTGTCGGCATGTCTCTCCAACAGCAGCGACTTGGTGTGTACGCGAAAGGGTCTAGGCGCTGAGCCCAACTCCATCTCTAATCCTCACCTTGTCCTGCCATTGGGAGAGGATGATTGCGTAAGGTGTATGGGGTAGATTGTTGCACAAGCCTCTCGCTACAGTTCTTGTTAAACTCAACTCACCACTTCCTCCCGAGACCGTGAGGATCCTGGCTGCTTACGATGGACGAAATGCCGAGATTCCAATATAGCCTATTTCAGTAAGTTGTTAATACTGTAAATCATGTTGATATAGGCTTCTCATTGACGATCTATTTGTACCACATTGGGGCGGGAGTATATCTGCGCGGCGCACTGAAAATCTGAGCGATGACCTAGTGAACTGTATAATTTTATAATATTTTAAAGTCCATATTGACCCAACTGTGAAAAACTCGGCGTCTCGGTGGGGTTCGAACCCACGCAGTAAGGGGGAAGGCTTTAGTACAGCCAACGCTCTAACCACCTGAGCTACGAGGCCCCAATGAATAGTTTAAAGAGTTCTCAAGGTGACGCGTCATTCCAAATGTTACCTTTCAAGCCTGTAGTTTATGCCAGAACTAGTAGGCCTTTGATCTGCGTCTTTAAGTACGCCTTCAAGCAGAAAATACTACTTCGATGCAGTTGCAGTCATGGTTGTTATGGGGCATAGCCCGCAACAAGTCACATGCCGTAATTTACCTAATTTTGATTGAAAGTACTCAGGTTTTTTCTTTTCCTTTGTATTTTAAGCCTGCGTTTTCACCTGTTTCTTAGGCTTTCAAACTGCATACCGTGCAATTGCTAGAAGTCAGCCCCAACTATTCTTTTTATTCCAGTAGATGTGAATTGTGATACACATTTTGTGCTTATCGTTAATAAGCCTGCTGGTCTTAAACTTCCCGAAGAAATATATTCATATATCACAATCTTACTACAACAGAACTACCCCTCTTTCTCAGTCGAAACATTTTAATAAGGCGCGGTTTCCTATAGAATGAGCATAGTGGGTGACATTACTATTAACTCGTCCCAAGAAGTGTTACAGTTTTGCAATGGTCAAATATAGTCAGGAAAAAATGCGCCGCTTAAATTGGGATTTTTGTCCAAGTTTTATTTACGCAGGTGACTCTAGATGTTATCAATAAAAAGCCAGCAAGCCACAGTATGTGAGTTAGTTTGGGACTGTTTCACGTCAGTCAGTATTGCGATCTCACTTAGGGAGTATTTTCTACTTTCAATTGTATTTGTCCTTGTCCTCAAAATTTCGTAATGCGATCTACCCTAGACCCGAAGCTCTATGGAAACATGGAAATACCCGTTCCCATCCTGCAGTCAGATTAGGTCCGTGAGTAGCACCCTTACCTGGCCTTCAGCGTTCCGGATCCCAGCCAAAAGGACTTAGACGTTCAGCTTAGTGTCGAGTGCCTTTGCCTTAAACATGTTCGGCAATAAGCTGGTATAGACCCAAACCCGGTTGCGCTATCACGGGGAATTGGAATATCACCACCTAATAACAACACGTATGCCAGAAGTGGTCATTATAGTTAGCCTAAATTATTTCACACGGTGGAATCTAAAATAAAACTAAAACTAAATTGTCTCATTTGAAGAATACTGACTGTTTCTCCCTTCTGCATACCTCTCATATTCACTCTCCATGTATCTTATTACCTACCTCCTTTTGAATCCCTCTTTCTCTCTCTTCTGGTTTAGTTCCGCACTTCGGCATTTTCCCCCAAAGCCTCGTCAGGATCCTACAGTGGCTTCCGTGAAGAAAGTAGCCCCACCTTCTGGTTCATGCATCCAGATGCACAACGCCCAGTCGAATTTACATCAATCTCCTAAACGCAATTATGTACATATTCTGCAGACCCTCTATTTCCTACTCTGCACATTTTCCTGTTTTTCAATACCGATGCGCCCTGGTGCGCCTCTAGTCTTTCACTGCCGCCCTTCCAGACTCCATTTGCGCTCTTGCACACATTCCTATGAATAGCATTTTTCCTAGATTTTTGCGCATTGTATGCAGCCTAATCCGGCCTTTTGGGTTTTCTGGGCTCTTATATTTGATAGTAGTTCCGAATCTGCATTTCATACAATCTTTGTTGTAACTGGGACGTACTCTGCGGAAAAATATCATTTATACATCTGACAGCTCGAGTGTCGCGAACGATGTCCACCGTGTGCCCCACAGTAGGGTGGAAGCAGGGACGGTGACCTACGCGCGAACTATTCATTGGTGGTAGTAGGCTTGCGCTGGGTCTACCACATTCGACTCTTTCACTTATCTCACCCACAGTCAATAAGCCCAGAGGAAAGGTCGTGCGCAGTGACTGATAAGGCTAGACAGCCTGTCTGCGCGTGTCGCACACTGACTGGCCCTCTCACAACGTACCAGGCTTTCATACAAGGGGACGGGTCTCACATGCGTTATAGTTCCGTAGAGACCACACGGAGGAGTCAAGAACAGGCTTTACCTTTACGTGGACGATGCTTATTCCGTGCCTGCAGAGGGTGATGTAGGATGGATTCATATGTGGTGTGTGAGCGGGTGGGGAGATGTGTGACGAAGAAGTCCGGTCTGAGGTGTTTTACCGCGAGTTTTTCCGGATACACATGGCCAGGTAAGCCTATGTGATGCCTGGACGTCCGTGGGCCGATGTGTGTTGGTACTCCTGGCACTGGTTTCCTAGTTTCCAATGGAATCGTGAGTGGCCGGCCACACCTATACATGGTGGGCGTGCGGAGCAGAAATATCATCACGATGGGTGGGGTTGGAGACTGGTGGTGGAGTGGTCGGTAATACTGGAGACAGGAGAAATCTTGGATGTGCAAGGTGGGTTTTCATGTCGACATTCCTGTGAATTCTGCTGTCAGGGATGCGCATATAGCCCACTAGGTCTGTGCGATAACTGTATGTGCGTGGAAAGTGCAGGTAGCTGTGGCGCATGTGTAGGTGTATGTCGGAATCGGGGGTCCGCGGCGTCTGCGACTTGCGAGCTGTCCTTTAGGTTTTGGTAGTGGCGATCCGGCTGGATTCGTCGACGGCTGCTTCAATCGCACGTCGTCCACCTTCACGATATGACCGCTCCATCGCAGTCACAGTTGCCTCAGCATGGCGTGGATTCTGATAATTCCAATGCGTTCCAGAACTTCCGCGTCCTGGATTCTGTCGTACCACTTCAGCTTTGCTATCCTCCGGAGAAAGCTGAGGTGTAAGTAATTTAGTTTCCTGACCTGACTGACTCAGACTGTCTATGTTGCAGTATAATTTCAGTATATATAAGAAAGATTAGCATAGCCTTTGAAGGCCCTATTTGCAGACATAGACTGATAAGGACGGGCACATGTGTACGCAGGCATACGGTATCTTTTATCGGCTCCGTCCCCATGATCAGTGCCTTGTACATTTTGAGTTAATTGTTCAGATTAAGTTTCCGACTATTCCATACTGGGCAGTAGCCAATCAAGTACCTGGCTGACTTTAGAGATGCGGTGGACAACCTCGTCTTTGATACTGAGATTGCGCTGCTCAAGTATGCGAATGATGAGTTGAACTCCATTTATGGTGGCCTTCTCTGCAATCTGCGTGGCGTCGGTGTATGCCTGCGTGGCCACCGTCTTTCCCGTGCTGACGGTCAATGCGAGTTGGTGCAGCGGGTGTTTAAGCGGTATGCACTCCTTTGCATGCTCGCCTACTTGACGTTATTGGATGCTCAGTCATCCACAAACAGTGCAGTATGTGACCTAACTCATGAAACCTGCTGACGGGAACTGATATGACAATTTCAGACACCTAGGACATTACGCATCTTGCTCAATTGCCTAGCCCCTTCCGAAAATGTCCTTTTTGGGACGAAGATTTAAGTAATTTTATCAGACAAGAGTTTCTAAAATTATTTGGTCACTTACTTGTACGGACAAACTTTATGAATTTTTAAAATGTGAGTCTATTCATGTTGCACGAACTTTCGCGTTTTCGAGAATTCCGTTTTTCTTAAGAAGCTCGTTCTCTGTAATCAACGGAATAGTACTTGTACTACTAATTTTGCGTCTTAATTTAACCGAAGACCGTTGATTGTTAGTTTTATGTTTTGGTGAGTGCGTTCAGACTGGTTTCACATTAATCAGGGAGTTTTCGTTAATTTAGGCATATTCCGTTAGTTAGGTCGCCAAATGCAGATCGTAGATGCTGGTCTGGAATACTCTTGAGCGTGTTTGCATCCGTAATGCGTTGACGATTTGTCCGTCGAGCCGGTCGGGGATGCTGATTCATGGCCGTCCCTCATAGCAGACGTCCATCAACGCAGTGTTGTTGCTTGTATGGTGATGTTGTTTGATATGGCGCTGCCCTGGCAGGCCAACTTCTTCAGAGATACGAATCGGGTTCCATTCATGTTGGTACTGGGCGTGTTGCGTCCCAACTCTGATGGTGATTGATGCACGCCTACCGTTTTGTCCGTGTTGATGGTTAGCCCACAGTTTGCGCGGCGGCTTCTGTCGCGGTATTGAATACGCAGTCGTCCGCGAAGAGTTCTTTTTCGGCGGTCGTCGAGGTCCGCGTAGACGCCTGCATTCGTCGGGTGCAGAGAAGCTGGCCTTCGGTCTGGCGGGTGATGCTGATCCCCGGATGCTCATCATCGTAGGCGTCCAGCAGCATGACAGAAAACATGAGACTAAAGAATGTAGGGACGAGTATGCAGCCCCGCCTCACTCCATTAGTCCCTGTGAATGCTCCTGATACTACCCCGTTGCCCCTGACACGCATCATCATGCACCCATGAGGCTGACGCACAATGTGTGTGAAACCACTCAGACGACCGAACGCCAGCATGGTCTCTCAGGCTCCATCGCGATTCTCTCTATCAAAGGCCCTCGTCAGGTCTAGGTACGCAGTGTGAATGCATGTCCTCATTTCCCGCCATTTTTCTTAAGACTGCCGGGCATCGAAAATTATGTCACCGGTTCCGCGGTAAAGTCGGATGTCAAACTGGCTTTCCATGAAGAGTCCACCTTCCAGACGGCCGTTGCTTCCAAAGATTTTTCAGCAGTGTTAAGAAAGGGGGTGTCTCAATAATTGTCGCAGCGTGGGTGCTTGCCTTTTGTTTGTATATGTTTAAGATGGTGGTGTTCTGAACTGATTGTTCTTGTCGCCACATTTCCCGAAAGATCGACGTACTAATAGATATTCCCGGGTATATTCAACCCTTGCCCTTTCAGTCTTGAGTTCGAATCACGCCGATGTCGTCGTTTTTTACTGTTGGGTTTAATGTGTTGTGAACTTTCCGCACGCCTCACTGGTCGCCCGTCCTTAACGGAATCCTAATATTTAAACTCAGCAGCAATGGCGGAAGGGAATGTGTGTATTAACTTAACCTAACAGCGCAAATAAAACGAAAAAGGAATATAGGGGCTGTCTGAGGACAGGATGGAATCCGACCAATCAGAGAGCTACCTTAAGTGGTTACCATGTCGGCTGGACTTTTGAGTCACCTGACTGGTTAGGCAAAGCACCAATCCTGCAGGAAGCTAGCGCAAAATCGGTAAGCGCACGGCGCGTGGGTGGATCCTTAGAGCGGAGTCCCAACAATATGGATTATCCATTTATTTCTTTTTCACACATTGAGTCGACCACTTAGTCGGCCTGTCTTCGGTGTGTAGAGTTCGCCAGGAATTTGACAGGGTCGTTCTTGGCAAAGGGCACGGTGGGTCGATCATTCTTTCGTGATTGTGTTATCCTTCTTGCGGGGGATGTCCGGGCAATTAGATCGCCGTCTTTTTCAGACCCCAGTTGAGCTCACCTTTTACATAAGGAAAAAGTCCAACAAATAAGTCAAAGGGTTCGAGCTTAGACGTACGTCATGTGCTGTTGACTAACTGAAATATTCCAAGTACTCTCGTATGCATTGAGATCCCAATTTTATGTCCCTCTCGGTAATTTAAATTCCCTCTCTTATCAGACATGTACGGAGCAAGAGGCGGAGTAGAGTTTATTGAGTGGTCCATAATGGACCGGAAATTTCCGGTAACGGAACAGTTTCCATTCAACACCATGGAAGTGTGCATTTATTGGTCATAATATGCTCCAACACTTTATTCTATGGTTATAACATTCCAAGGAAACGCTGCTAGAGTAGTCTGTATTTTGATTTTTTTTTTGATGTAAGAGCTCAAATCAACCAGCGTTCTTGGGCTCGACGCTGAGCACGTAAATATCGTAGGCAAATGCCTAGCAGATCAATTGGCACCCTAAGTTCAGCGCCGCAGCTTTAAATAAGCTCGGCTTGATGATTTGGCTGAGACCTATTTAGTTTCTCAAACTAGGAAGGCCTATCCATTTGACCTTCCGGCACATCATTAGTTTAAGACGTTCTACAGGAAAGCAGTCTTGGGGATACAATTCCAAACTATCCAACTTCTCTACTGGCTTATCCAGATAATTTTACCACCTAAAAGAACTTTAAGAGGGCCAGGTTCGCCCATACTGATGTCGTCTACTAAATAAAAATAGTTGTTTTGGTACTTGCGAGCCGTGGGGCACCCGCCGGACGCATTCCTGTCCGGAAAAGTGTAAACTGGTGACAAGCTGGCGGAACCATATGCTATCAACCTAACTAACCCAAATCTCCATCCTCTGAATTATGGGCAATTGAGTGAGGAATTCATACAGACCTTCCGTGTAGTGCGTGGTTTAAACTGCGTTTTTCAGGATGAGGACTTTCTCCAATTCGTCTCTACAGACAACGTCCGTTAGCGTCCTTTCAAACTTCGTGGGCTCCAAGGTAAACTGAATGTGAGGTTGATAATTTTTTCACAAGTGGATCAAAGCAATTATTCAGGTCTAT